GGATGAATATGCTACTCAAGAGTAGCTTTTTACTTTCAAAACACCAAATTTTTAACTAGATTTTTATGATTGCACTCTTTTCAACAGTAAAAACTGATTCTTATTTTTTCGAGAAATCTTGACTATCTTGGTGAATCTTTAAGGGCGTAATAATTGATTAAAATAGCTGTCAGCAAAATAGAAAATGTGCCAGGAAAAACAGCCCAGAAGTGACGTTGCATGTTCCTGAAATCAGTAATACAGTGAACTGAAAATTAGCCAGGTTAACCAGAGCTATGTGATGTGTTTGACGACTACTAAAATAACTAAGCAAAAACACAATAATTCCCTTATCCAAACGATCTCTATCACTTGGTCTTTAGGGTTTGCCCAGTTGAAAGGTCACTCATATTTAATTACGCAGTAAAAAACCCAGTTGACATCAGGCGATCACGAACTGAATGCCTCCTCAGAATGCTGTGTAATCATGTAATGCATTGTTTTACTTGATGCTGAGCAAACTTGGAACAGGCTGCACTGAGTCTTCCGGAATTATTGACCAAAATCATACCGTAGAAAACGCAAACGGTAATTTAAAAGTTTGTTGATCCTCCAGGTTCTGCTAGCCGTGGAGCATAGAATTGAGAGTTATTTACTATAAGGCCCATTCCAAGGCCCCTTGGGGTCAAAAACCTGACCAACATTACCAGACGTTTGCGCGATTTGTCGGAAATGCTGATTCCTAATAAAGATAATAAATAAAATAGAGATTGAATAGTAGATAAAATATATTATATTCCTACTTTTAAGTAGAACCCATAGTTTTGGTTCGCACAAGTTACGACTTCTGTCAATGAACATCCATCAATCATTGAGGCCAAAGTAGCATTCCATCACTTATTCAGTGCGGCAGACCGACAGAATTGAGCAGCATGTGCGAACAGATAAAGCTATGAAGAACTGACACAATGCATTTAATTCCGGTACGAGTAACTGGGTGTGAGCCAACAGCTTTTGAGCGAGGTTTCACTAGGATACTTGTGTGTGGTTTAGACATAAGCTTGTCGTTCCAGTCTAACGTTGGAAGTCGGTACATATTTATTTCAATAAACTATTTTCCGTGTTATTGCTCGTCTATCTATCTATTTATTTATCAGTCTCCATTAAAACAGGTTTTCACGAAGTCGGTGATTTTCCGGCGCTCTCTAGGTATGTGAGAAAAGACATGCGCATAAGAACTTTGAAATTCTGGAAAAGTTGACCCTCCTAATAAGTCTGATCAGTCTAAAACTGAACACCTAGAGATGTGTACCAAGCGAGTGGAAAGCCAGTTCCTTGACTATTGACTGCCGTTGTCAACTAAAGTAAATTTACTGTGCTTGACATGTATGTGGTTTGTGAAAACTGTATCCCATTATGTAATTCACAAAAGCCGAAAATTCGGTCTTTTTGGTTGGTGTGGTCTTCTGGGGGTAACCTTGTTGTGTTGGTCTCTTGTGCAGTTGTCGCGTTAATATGTTGTCCTAAATGAAGAAAACACAATTTCAGCTCTGTAACAATTCCCTAAGCCTGAAAACATTTGAAAGACCATCACAAAACATGACCGCTCCTGTTGTCCATGATGTATGACTTCCACTACTCACAGAACAATGAGAAATTTATGTTAAAGGTGTGACCGTAAAAATTTGCAAGTTTGCACATACTTATTGCAAGGCACTCAGTTTTCAAACGTAGACGAAGATTTCGAACGTGAGTTTCACCTATATATGCCCAAATTAATACAATAATACCTTACAAGTGAACCCTTCCCACGAGTGATAATGGTACACAAGAAGACATTGTGACGCTGGGTTTTGTTAGTCTGCTTCAATACTGAAACATGATACTATACCTTACAACCTGATATGAGAGAAGCAGTGGAATTCTAAGACCAGATTCTTGAAGCTGAGGTTTGATTAGCTTTCAAATGTATGGAGTTGCGTGTAGTTTTTCAATTCTTCAGCATTTCAATTCTTAGCGCAGATGTACTAATCAAAGCGTCCTGTAGATTTCGGCAAATTAATCTATATCTACCCTTTTTAGTTGAGGCCTGGTTTTTGAAGAGCACACACAACTCCAGAAAAGTATGGTTTCGTACGTGACTCCTGCAAAAATGGACTACTATTATAAGGGGCTCATTGATTTTCTTCGAATTTTGTGATGGATGATAACAGCTATCCGCAAAGTTTACGCCTGCGCGATCCGAATGGTTGGCACATTAGTGGTGAACTATTTCTACCTAACAATGTTCTTGGCATTCATTTCAGCTAATTTGCTGGGGTCATGCGATTTTTACGATTGTCAGATTTCAGGACACACATCAGAGATATTTAAGAATTTAAAATGTCGCGAGTTTAAGACGTAAACGAGGCACAATGCATCTTGACAAGTGGAGGGTCAACGACACAGAGGTGGACATATTCAGGTAACGTTACCTCGTCAGTCACAGCGCTGTTACCCATTTAGTACCGTTGGTTAGACCTAATATATTATTGGGCATCCATGATACTGGAGATACCTCGAATCGAACAAAATACCCTCAACGAGAAAACTCGAATCCCAAATAGCTACACCGATATCATTTCAAGTTGCGCTTTGATGTTGTCTCCCTACCACAACCTGTTCTCACCCTTTACAATAATGCCTTTGATAGTAAGGATGGTTTTACGGAGAGGTAAACGTTATATTGCGAGTGTTCCAGCGGCACTGAACTCAATGCGTTTTCATGTCCTCTCAGAAGACGAGTCGCTTATACTGTTACCTCTTTGTATAGTCGCCTTAGAGGACTGTCTCAAATTAGAACACCTCACTTAATCAAGAAAAGTCCGTCCGTTTGTCTCGAGTGGTCTTCGTTTGGAGATCATCGCATCTTCTTTCAGATAAATGACATTTTCAGAACCGTTGAATACCTTATAACTTGTGCTAAGATGGATCATATGCAGCGAGTTCGAACCGATTTTTTATGCAGCTATTAAATAAAATACGTCTTGTCGACTAGTTTATCTACCAGTCTAATCTCCAATGAAGACGTGGATTACACTTAGAGTGGTATCAAGTGTTGGCAGTGTTTTACAGAAGACTTGGACACACCTTAAATCCTTGTGCTCATCCTGGGAAAAATCGTGAGTTAGCAGTTAATGGATACTTAAATCTCGCGCGCAATTTTTCTTTAAAACGCTAGAGGATGTTGCCCAGATGAGTTTGCTTTAACATTATATTCTTACAGCTCGTGCTTCACAACAGAGTGCCAGGTGGCATGTACCGTTGAAGAGCAGTCCCACTTTATACAAAATTAACTCTCTCAGCGACTGGCACGAAACCGACAGTATTTAGCTAGAAAGCGTGGTAAACTTATGGGATCATTAAATAAAAGGTTTGACATAATTTTCGGCCGTTTCCTCTGGGAATATTTCAGAAGCAATTTTGACTTATTTTAGTGAAACGCCCGTAAGACATTAGCCATCTAGTCCTGTCTGGACGTAATACACGTATGTATCTGTGTACACAACTGTACAAATATGTGAATTTACGTACCCAGTAGTTAGAATTTTGTCAACTAGTAAGTCAAAGATGGATTTCAAAATAAAGTGTCCACTAAGAAACAGGAGCAGCATGGCCTGCGTTTATTTCGCGACTGATCCATTGAGGATAACTTCATTTCACTACCTCTGATGACAGATTAACGTCATTGACACGCTTTCAAGGTGAAACTCAGGATATCTGATATATTCAAAAACACCAACAGAATCCTAACCGAATCATTTTCTGGATTGGAAATGTGGGTCTTCCGATGGGTGATGTGTTCATTTCCTCATGCTCTTGTATGTCAAAGATACTTTGAAATGGAATTTATTTCACTCATTCAGTTTGCAATTTTATATAGTAATCCATATGTTTTCATCCACGTACCACGTGTGAACAGCATTTTTCCGCCGGAAAATAAGTAAACACACAGTTTATGGAGAAGGACCTTGCCAAACAGTAAATAATTGTTACCTAAATAAACGTAAAGCTGTATTTTACTACTTTGTTGATGAAAAAGCGTTCACAGAATGCTTAAAAAGAAGTTCAATTTGAGGACATTCAGTCTTGAATCTGGGTCGTTGGAGCGGATATAAGCTATGGTAAGTAGTGAGGAATCTAGGACTACAACATCCTCACTTTTACACAACCACACGAGTATCCGAAGTTAGGATTTTTGTCCCACAATAAGGACTAGTTAGGTTATTACATACACAGCATACATTGTTCTTTCAACTTGTATCAGCAACTATTCTGTGAAATGAAAAGCGGATATATATTTTTCTATTTGATTTTTTCACATGACGTCCCATCAAAAGACTACGGTGCATGAGAAATCGTATAACTGGGTTCACTGTCGTGCACCATTGTACCGCCAAATCCCCCCTACTGATCCAGCGGATGTGGAGCATGTGGAAGTTGGCCTAGAAAAAGCCAGTCCTAAACCTCCACTAGTTGAACAAACGCATAAGAACACTACATGTGCATTCTTACTAATCACTGACCGACAGTGCCAAATCCACCTTAACAAATCCACCTTAATTAGGGCCTGTAGATTGTGGTGAAAACAACAGGGAGGCCACATGTTTATTATGTACTAACGAACCTAGCTAAAACTAGCTACGGGACTAATCAACTAACTAACCAGAATTTGACTTGGAGGGGAGGTTCTAACGAGTGATACTTAGTCAAAGGCCAACCTGGATTAGATAATCATTTCCTTTGAGAGGGATTGGCTTCAAGTCACTGAGTGCACACTCATTCTTCGCTGAGACTAGGCTAAGGCTGCGGTTTCCTCATAAATTTTGTCCGTCTTGAGTTTGTTTTCGACAGGTGCATCTTCGTCACAATACATCCCTTCAATACCAATATAAGTGCAGCGTGACTGTATGTCACGTGATTAGATAAAACAGTAATTTATATCATTCAAACTGAAATGGGGGAGGAAATATCAGCGCTGTTCAATTGGCAAGAGAATGTCTGTGCTCGATAATCCCAAATCCATCCGTTTTATCCACACCCAAATTAGTGGGCTGCTGTAAAGAGCCACCGCCGATTCCTTGCATCCTTGAATGCCCAGCAGCAAACGTGTCGTTATTAGTGTGTCCAGCCGTCACGGCAAAAGTTCTTCGTCCACGAAACAATGTGATAAAGGCCTTCCGGAATGTTGCCGACAAGAATGCATACAATATGGGATTGACACAACTGTGACCGTAGGCCAAACAGTTGCATGCAATTTGAATCATTCTATACCAGTCCGTGTTTGGGTCGCCGACGTAGTATTGATGTAGAAATATCACGTGGATCGGTAACCATGATATCCCGAATGCGACAACAACGGTAACCACCATACGAGTTATCCGTTTCCTCGAGCGTTGTGATTCAACCGATGGCTTGATATGTGGTGATTTGCGGCACCGAAGACGAAATATTACAGTTATGTACAAACCAGTGATCAGTGTGAATGGGATCAGATATCCGAAGAGAAAAAACAAGGTGAAATATGTTTGAGCACCAGTAAAGTTATCTTTGGCAATACCGGTCTTTGGGTCGATTTGAACCAGCCATGAGTATGTGCAATATCTTGTGGCGCATGGACTATCACCTCCCTCCGCGGAGCCATACACAATCATGGAATTGAATAATAATGAAACGTTCGAAAGCATTGTGGTTATCCAGATAGCCACAACAGCCTTTATCATATTGCCTTCCTTTCGAAATGCTGCGAATTTCATTGGATAAACCACTGCCAAAAATCGGTCCAAGCTCATCAGCAGCAGGGTATATGCGATACAATAAATAGATACATAGGTTGAATACCAGAATACGTGACACATGACGTTTCCAAGAGGCCATGTTCCGGTTAGATAAACTGCACCGGTAGGCGGGATGCACAATATAACCAGTGTCATATCTGCAATAGCAAGAGAAAATACTAGTATGTTGGTAGTATTTCGCATTTGTGCGTTTGCCAGTATAACAATGATTACAAACAGATTTCCCACGAACCCGAGAATGAAGTACAGTCCGAATAAGACGGGTGTGACATAACGTGAAAATATAGTAAGACGATTGAGTTGGCCTTCGGACTCGAATCGTAGTATACAGGAAGATGAAAGATCAAAAGCATTCTGATCCGGTCCAGAAGCATTTCGCATAAGATTTACCGTGGACTGTTCCGCAGGAAGCACAAGAGTTACCAGGAGAATTGATAACATAAAGTAGTTGCACGAATGTCGCATATCCAAGTGACCCGTTGTTTCATGTTCTGGATGTGTCTGTAATTGAAACAGTCCGAAGATAGCACAACTCATCGAGATGAATTAAGATATGTGGATAATAACACAATAATAGTACGAGATTTTGTGTGTACCTGGGTACATATGTATACGCATATATATATATATATATATATATATATATATATATAT